ATGATACTCCTAAGCCAGCAGGACACACCAGGTTTGTGTGTGTTTCTGATACACACTCCCGTACAGATGGCATCCAGATGCCTTACGGCGATGTTCTGCTCCACACGGGCGACTTCACTGAGCTGGGCCTGCCTTCTGAGGTTAAGAAGTTCAACGACTGGCTAGGTACTAAGCAGCTTAACATATACATTAATCTGCACACCACTGCACACACGCATCATCTAAACACTCACACGCTGCTGACACACGCAACCTGTAACAGACAGGGGGAAGGGCCTGAGGCACAAGACACCTCGCCTGTATATCCAGTAACTTACTCTTACACTTTTTACAGCCCGTAAACTGGACCACACAATGAACATCCNCTTAAGTGTCCAGTTTAACCTCTCTGACCTAACACCCTGGCTCAGTTAACCTTTGACCTCTCCTTCTGGCCCCATGCTGTGCACAAGTGTGACCGTGTTTTGTTTCCTCTCTAAAGCTCAGAGAAGCTCAACTCTTTTTGTTCTCCCCTTAATGCAGCCCACATTTGACTCATTAAAAAAATAAACAGACTGTCCATAAGCAAATTCATAAATCAAGAGTTCCACCTGCCCCCACCACCTAACCCCTAAAAAACTGTCCTGCATTCAGTCATTTCATTAGTCCCAGTTTAAATGACCGTATTTGTCTTTGCCCACTGTGTCTCAAGAATTCCCGTCTAATATAAAATACATCAAAAAGGTGTTTTAGTTTATATGATTAACAGTAAAGAGCAAAATTAATATTTACATTTTTTGATTTATCTCTGCTATCTAGCTGAAACTGGAGATTAAGAATGTTGATTTAAAACTCAGATGTTTTAGGACAACAAAAAATTCAGATGTTTTGCTGTTCCACAAAATGTCTGAAGTCTCCAGAATCAGCTTTTCAGTGTTCAGTTCTTTCTGATTACTTTAATGAGGAAGATGTTTAATTATACATTTTAAGTGTGAGAATGTGATGTAAGCCAAAATTTAGGAATGATTTCTTTAATTCTCATAAGATTGAAAAACATAGAGAGGTAGGAAGCAATAAACTGTGGAACTCGCTTTTAAAAAAAGCAAGTGCTCTTGTATAAGGAAAAGTATGGCTTGACTTATCTGTTGATTACATGCAGATTCATACAGCCTACTCATGATGAAGAACAGCACTAAAATGTTCTATGTCCGTATCTACTAACATTAAGATGTTGGTCTTTGAAGTTTTCAGCGAAAATATTGTCCTCAGACTAAACAGTGGACAAACATTATTTAAATCATAGATTAATTTAAATCAAGAGATTGCAACAAAATAAACCTTTATTTCAACAATAGTAGATTATTATTAAATAAAAAACTAAGTAACAAGCAATTACAAAGTTTGAATAAACTGATTTTATTTAGTTTTGGACATTTTTTTGTCAAAGTGGACTAATTGCTAATTACACACCATGGCCTCTTTGACAAATTTGACAAATTTGTCAAATTTGTCCAAAAACATAATATTAACTGTTTTTATTAAAGAAAAAGCTTCAGTCAGACTGAATGACAATAAAAAACTATTAATTGAGTTTAATTATATTTTCTTGAGAATTAATTTGAAGAAGTTGAAGACACTGACATTTTCATTCAGTTTAATTCAGAGTCACCTCTCTGCTTTTGAGTTTAAAATTTTATTTAACTCCAGAAAGAATTTATATGTAAAGTTTTGTCCAATTTGAATATAATTTTTTTTGTTGTAATTTTATGGGTTTTTTTGTTTTCCTAAATCTCTTACACAAAACATCTAGATACTGCTGAGAGAGAATGGGTGAATGTTCTGTTCTGACCTCGTCTTCTTCATTTAATTTTAGTGGGGAAAGATTCATTTAGGTTCATCACGTGGTGTGACCAAATACCGTGACTTTAAAAGCAATAAAAACTCCACAGAGACTGATGGACTGATGGACTGATATCAAAGAGTTTATGGAAATTTTGTTTTTGCCACCTTTTCCCAGCCAGCCAGTGGAGAGGATGATTCACTTTGAGTTTGTGTGTGTGTGCGTTTGTGTGTGTGTGTGTTATATTAGGTCGTGCATGTGTGTAAATGGATGCTTGATCCAGTTAGAGTGCAGTGGCACTGAGAGACGGGGCTTTTATATAAGGTTATCCTGGAATTTATGATCCTGAGATGCGACAAGAGCTAATTTAGAGCAGCAGGAATGAAATCTATACACCGGCACACACACTTCTTTCATTTTTAACGTTACAGAGTACACACACAGTCACACACTCGCATACTGAGGCACACACACACACTCGTGATGGATATTCCATTTTATGCCACTGCCACTGGAACACAACGTCTTCGTATGTTTCTTAACCTCTGTCAGCTACAACAGATCAAATCAGTTACATTTGGCAAATATGTTTTTAGAGCATTTTGCAAATTGTGAAGGCCTTTTTTTAAATCAAGTTTCATCAATCAAAGGTTTCAGAAAACTTTTTTTTTTCTTCATCTTTTTTCATTTCTTTTTTCATTTCTTCTTTTTTCATTTTTATTTCTTTTTAAAATCAAACACATTTAAGATCAAAGTGATTTTTTTAATTAAAACTGTATACTTCATGAATAAAGAATTTATTGGATGATCACTACGGATTCAAAGAGCTGTTAAATTATGTATGTTGTCTTGCAGAGTAGTTTTTAGTGGCTGCAATAAATACGTTCTATAAAGGTCATAAATAAGAATCACGATCAAAGATATCTAGTGTAGAAGTTGGTTTGTTTGTACAAGGTACATGGTTATGGATCTGTGAATATCTGTAAATATTGGATCTGAAAATATCAGAAAAACATCTTTAGCATTCACCCTCTCATTAGCTATTTTCTCGTGTGCTTATCTGTACAGCAAGTGCAGAGTGTAAAGAATGAAAGAAAAAAAATGGAGCCAAACTAAATTTTTTAGACTCAGAAGGCAAAAGGAAGATAGAGACAGAGAAAGAGAGAGAGAGAAAATGGAAGGATGAAGGCCAGACTCTTTGAGTGAGTGCTCAATCGTCTGGAATAAAGAGGCCAGACTCTTTGGGTGAGTGCTCAATCGTCTGGAATAAAGTACTATGTCTGGTACCTGATGCTGAAGATGAACCAAGGAGAGGCAAAAGGGCACAGAAGAAGTTGAAAGATGAGGGGATGGGAGTCGTAATAGATGTTCTTCTCTTTTTAGTTCAGGTTCATGCTTCTTCCACCCACCCACCCGGCGTCTGCAGAGATGGACGATGGTCCAATGGGGTCAAGCAGAGCTGTCAGCCCCAGTTGTGCCCTCCATGACTGTCTGAATAGAGGGCATTTTTATCCACTTACATGAGTCCTCTTTCAGCCCTGCTCTGTGCTCAGGGTTAGGTATATTGTGGCCCTTTAAAGGGGGGTTGTGTGCTCCCTTTACAAGATGAGACAACCTGCTGTTTCTGCAGAAAAAGGCTGACCAGGTGAAAAGTACAACTCTCCTGTGGTTTCTGAGATATTGCTCCTGTCCTAGAGGAGAGCAGAACTGCTTTGACAAATTGTGCGGTGTGTTTTCCTAATGGTGTCAGCAACTCATTAAAACTGAATTTAGAAACCAAACTGTTGACTAAATAGTAATACAAAACATCAGCATTCAGCTTGAAGCCACAGTTTTTACCTAACATCAGCTACTCAGTAGCAGTAGCCATTTCTTCATTGTCATCATTCATTCCTCATTATTATTACTTCCCTTTTAATTATAAACCCTTTATTTTAAGACAAGGACTTTGTCTTTCAGAAATCTTTCAGTTGTGTTTGAGGTAAATATTTAACATTGTGATAAAAGATGAATATTTGAATGGGTCTTCAATCTTTCCTGGAGCCCAAAGATCGCCCCAGTTCCCTAAATATATTTTAGAAAGGAGGGGTGAGCAGAGTAGCCCTTGGTTTGTTGCACAAGATTTCAAATTCTCCAGTCATAGCTCAGTAGAGAGAGGACCAGGTTTGCAGCATCTGAATGCTGCTGACACATTTGCACTTTACACGTTTGCACTCAGTTGCCTTTAGCTTTTAAGTAAAATAAACTAAGGCCTTGACATTTGTTGATTTATTTGACACAGCTTTTATATACCCCTGGTTTAATTAGTAACAGTGGTCATGTGTATGGTTTATAACAACATGTCATATAATCGTTACCAGGATGTTGTTGTGTTTGTGAGGGCAGGAAGAAATAGACATGTACAACATCAAGTCTTCCTTCTTACAGATACAACAGTTGCGATTGGTTAAAAAAAACCTCTATCGGTGCTGTTTTGGCCAGCGTTTTAATTTCTAAACTAACGATCTCATTTTGGTGCAAACCTTTTGTACGGCAAAAGTGTTCTCTTTGTTATTCCGTTATTTGTGTTCTGTTGGGTAGTGAGTGCACCATCACCTAAGGCAATGAAAAAGAGTCTTTTTGAATTCAGAACCTGACCTCACTCACCGTCTGCGGTCTCTCCTCTCTCCTAGGAGGCCTTCCCTATGAATTCAAAGTGGTGATCGCTGGGAACCATGAGCTGACCTTTGATAAGGACTTTATGGCTGAGCTGGTCAAGCAGGATTACTACCGATTCCCCTCAGTCTCCAAACTCAAGCCAGAGGACTTTGACAATGTCCAGTCGCTCCTCACAAACTGTGTGTACCTGCAGGATTCAGATGTAACTATAAAAGGATTCCGGATATACGGAACACCATGGTAAGAACCCCAACCCTTGCCCTGTTTTCTTTTATCCAACAGCCATAGTTGCTCCTGACTTTGTAGCTTTCACTGCCAGTAGGAGTTGTTTCTTTTTGTTGAGGCAAAGGTGTGTCTTCCCCCTGGGTCAGCCTCTGGCTGTTTTCCAGCTCTGCTCCCTGCAGTAACTCTGTTCTCTGCCTGCAGCTCTCAGGCTGGGGCCTCTCTTACATGCAGGGTGCTATTCCCGGCTCGCACATTTCTTTATGAGCTCAAGACCTTCGCCTGCTCCCTGGGCTTACATTACACCTGTGTTTTGACACAAGGTTAAGTGATACGCTTGGTACCGTGACACTGTCAGAAGACTCTGTTGTGTGGAAACCAGGGGGGTGCGAAGGGGTATGTTTGGACAATGAACAGCATGTATTCAACAGAGAGGCAGGTGGAAGCATTGTTAGAGTGGGTAGTGTTTGTGCAGAGAAAATAGTAAAAACCATGACAGGAGGGAGCTCAACTGACGTGGCTGCTGGACACATCATCAGAATATTATGCAGTTTTGTTCATGTATACTACATGGATGGCCTGTTTGGGTCATTTAGGTTTTTAACAGTGAAGTAGTAGCTTGTATTCTCTAGCATTAGTTTAAAGATTTCTGCAAAGACTATGCTGGCTGTGCATCTGTACATATTGTTACATTTTAACATTTCACCATTTCGCTTCGGTCAAGCCAATGAACATCAAACATTAAACAAACAGGGCAGTTGTTATTGCTCCTATACTACACTTCCTGCGGAGCTTCCAGACTGTTGTGTTTTTTGAGTCACTCAAATCACACAGAGAGAAACGTATTCAAAAAGTGGACCACAGACTCACAAACGTGCACGTGAGGACCTCTAGTACAGTCTTATAGTCCTAGTCTTATAAGAGGTACAGTCACAGTGGGACCTCGGGCAATACATTTCAATTAATATATGTTTTAAATCCAGCCAGGTTTGGATTTTTTTCTTACATATTTGACTTTAAATACTATATCTCACTGTGTGTGCAATAAGAAAGACGATGAGAGAGTTGAGGATCAAGGTGAGTTGTGCCTCGTTTTAGGGCTTTTCCTGTTATGTTTGTTAAATCAGAACCAAACAAATAAACAGTACTCCCTGGAATCTTCTTATTGCAGTAGCTGAGATTGCGGTGTGAAATACGTATTGGAGATGTTTTTGTTGTATATGACGATCTAGGAGAAAAATATTACCTGGGATTTTTAGACTAGGACTCTCAGACCTGCACTACTATAAAATATAGTATATAGTAGATATTGAATCTTCCTCTCAGCCTTTAGGACATTTATCTTTTAAAAACATGTCTGCAGAAGAATTTGTACAACTTTGCAGTCATCCTACAGACCCAACAGTCTTTGAGTCTGAACTCATGCGCTCCACTTCAGTTGTGCATTTTGTTGGAGGACAGAGAGACACCAGAACCTCTTTATGTCCAGCTCCGACTCCCTCCACTGTGTTTGCTCTCTGTTCAGTGGTTCTCACACGTCTGCTGCATGACTAAAATAACTATTTAGGTCACATCTTCATCCTTTTGCAGCTATAATTAGCATGTTTGCAGCCTGGCGTCAGATGTGGTGAGGACAGTGACAAGAAGGGAGAGGAGGAGGAGTCGAGGTCTAGCTCCCAGAAATACTCAGACATCACAGAAGCAGGAAGAGGAGATTACGCTCTGTTTTCCTCCATCCTTCCTCTATTCCATTTCTCCCTGTGAAAAAGGAAGGATGCTGCCCCCCTCCCTCCCTGGTGACTGTTTAGTGTAAGGACTGGTAAGTGTCTGTTGTGACAGCTGGGGGTCTCCAGGGGCAGGGTGGACAGCTTGCTCACACCCCTCCTCCCCCACTGTCCTTCCACCTCCCGTCGGCCTCCTCACCTCCTTCGTACCCATATGCCACCCTGAGGTCTAGTGTGTTTGACCAGTGTGAGGTCTCACTTAGCCCCTCAGTGACCCCTCACTTCATCAACAGCTTACCAGCTCGTGGCCTGGGTGGCCGAGCACTGGTCTGCTACTGCCGCAGCTGCTGCTGCAGCATCATTAAGGAAATGTGTTGTGTAACTAGTGTCTGATTGTCATGTGTATCCAGCGTCTTCAGTTCTGCTGCTGCTCCACAGCATCAATGAAATGTTCAGGGCTTTGAGCAGGAGGACAGTTCTATGATTGTCACCATTTTGTCCTGCTGGAGAAGAGCTCTTTAAAATTTGGGTGTTATTTCTTTCTTCGTCTATTTCTAAAAAAAAGCATATTTATATTTATATATATTTCAACATCTTACTATTAGATTTGAAACGGAGAGCTATTGTGTTTGTAATCGGTTATACGTTCATGATGCTTTTATCTAAATATTCATACAAAGTCCATGAATGACTAGATTAAAGAGCTAGATTTGACAAACTAAAACATTTCTTTATTCTTAAGTCTTGTGTCTAAATCCCACACGCCACAAAACAACAAACAATTAATACATGAGAACACAATGTACTGTGATTCAGTGGCAGTGAACGAGGTGAGTCTTTCAATCAGTTAAGTTGCTGCTAAATGACTGTTTTTAAAAGCTCTAAAATGACATTTTCTTGATACTTTTAATGTTGGTGATAAAGTTAATATCTGTCTTTGATTAGCTCCCCCAGTTTTTATGGTATGAGCTCATGTGTTTTGTGTGAAACTCTGTCCTGACCCAGTTCATCCCTACTCACAGTGAGAGCAGCGTAGCATGAAAGACACACAACACACACTCTTTAATGACAGATGCTTAACAGACCGAATACCTAAACCTTCCCTCCTCATCCTCCTCTGCACAAAGATACACACACAGATGTACAATAAGCAGGCTGCTGCTCCCTGTCAATCAGACCTCACTTTGTGAGATTGGAGAACTCTAGAAACCAAAAATATCGGAATGTTTTCAACAGCTGGACTGTGCAGAGGGCTAGTTTTCATTTACCTAGTCAAATTTGAACTTTGCACTCATTTTAACATTTAATCACAATCTTTTCTTTGACATGGCTGTTTACAGTTTTACAGTCTTTGAGATCAAAATTGATGTTTTGTCCATGTGCAAAATAAAAATTGAAAAAAAAATACCTGCATCTAAATAGTATTAAATGACTGCTGTACAGATAGACACCTCAATTTCAGAGGTTTTACAAATGGACTTGACTCTTTGGTTTTTAAATACAAAGTGACATTAATTTCATAAAAGCCTGATATGTAATAGATATTACATGCTTATAACGTATGATAAACACATACCCCTTTCCAGGACTTATCCTTGTAGGGTTTTGAGTGTTTTATATTTGGCAGTTTTTTATTTATAAAAGCATCAATTTGTACAGAAATAGATATTTTCAACCAAAATTACAGTTTACACAGTTACTTCTGATTAATCAATATTTCTAAAAATTACCAAAAATATAATTTTTGATCCAACGGAAAAACATATAACAGCTTTATTAATTAATTATTTTTTAAAAATCCAAAAAAAATCAGCTATAAAATGTTATTAAAAATGTTGTTCTGTGGTTTTATTTATTGATCTCTATTTATTGATCTCTATCTTTCTTTCACTTACTCTCACTCACTCACTTTCTCTTTAAGGATTTAAGGATTTACCCGTGTTGTGATTTTACTCAAAAGATTTAGATCTTTAGATGACCCACTGCTGCTCTCTCTCTCTCTCTTGCCAATCTCATTGAGATACATTTGGTTGTTTTAACCATTTATCCTTACTTAGGCAACATTCTCTTCTTTCTTCTCTTAATAAATGTTGCTGGATTTATTCACTGAGAATCCAGTTGTGCGCTCACCTGCGTGTGTGTTTCTGGAGGCTGCAGAATGAAATCAAACCGACCTCATTTGACTCTCTGAATCCCACTGCTGTGGCAACCTGGAGGGGCAAATGCAGATTTGTCATTTGCAGAGTTTAGTATTATTCATGTATTCCTCTTTTTTTAATACTCTAAAGGTCAGCAGTGTGTGTGTGCTGAGTGCGAGTGTGTGTGTGTGTGCTTGCCACTGTTGAGTCTTTGTTTTGTATGGCTGCTGGTCCAGCTGCCCTTATTTTTAATTATTAGGCTTAGTTATATTCAAACTATACTATAACAATTTACATTTAAATCTATAATTGTTGTGCAGCACTATATTCTAGTGCAGAAGGGAATTTCTGTGAAGGTTTCATTTCTGTTTTCATATAGATTCCAGTCATTTTTGCCTATGACCACAAATCTAACCCAAAAGTTAAAAGTTTGTATTGGCTTCAAAACATTTAAATCTGAATGTGAATTTGAAAATTCAAATTCCTCAGTTCTTGTAGTGATGAGAGCAAACCCTTTTCCTGTATAAAGAATGTAGTTGTTTCTTTTTTAAGTGAGCAGAGGGATGTACACTTTTGTCTTTTAATAGGGAATTTTTTTAAATTAAAATAAAATCAAATATCCAGCTCAGAAATATTAATAAAATAACAGTAAGGAATTTTTATCTGTCCGCTGCAATGAGTTCTGGCACTTCTGTCGACTGCTTTTATCTTAATCACCCCGAAGTCACCTCTTTGCCGGCGCCAGCCTCTGTCGGTTTATGTTGGCTGTCTGCCCACCACACCAAGCACACACACTTTATAGTACCACACACACACTGACAGAGCAGCGCACACTACTTTCTCTGTCAGACCGTGAGCACAGAAGCTTTACCTCAGACGAGGCAGCAGACCCTGACAAATGTCCGTCACTATAAAGTCAAGGGCTCCATGTTCATCCTGACCTCATTTCCTGCAGAGAGAGAGAGAGAGAGAGAGAGCCTGTAAAATGTCACATCATGATTCAAATCCCTGAACTGGATGTAATTTTCTGTTCTGTCTTCTTTTGGGCTTTACAGACTGTGAACATTTATATTACAGTCTTAGTAGTTTACAATCAGATTATCTTCTTCATGCACCTTCGTGCCAAAGGAAAACTGAATTACTCTGGACCAATGTC